AATTTATGGCCTAACAAAGCAAGAAGCGGAAAGTTTTATTTTTAAAATGATTATTGATTAAGAATGGAAAAGACATTTTATAATCCTAGATAAATTGGATTAAAAAAGATTTTATCAATTTTCGTAGTTTTGATTTAAAATAATACGATTATGACCATTTGCATTGCTTTTTGAATTCATATTGTCGAATTTGAACTGATGTTTATGCAGTTTTTGTCACTTGCCATTTAATGATTTCATGAAATTGGATCCGCTTCAAATTAATGACGAGTCTTCAATTTCTCCTTTTGGCCTTTTCCTGCCCGAATAAAAGGAAGATTTCGCGAATCAATTTCCACCGCTGACTTTCCTCGTCTGCAAATAATAAAAGGAAGCCGCAAAAGCGTTTCGTCGCAGCCCCCGAGCGCAATTTCGGCGTCGCTAATTGGCCCCGATTTTTGGCCTGTAATTACCAATTAATTATCTCATCCAGCTGGCGGGTGGAGGAAGGCCGTGAAACCCAATCTAATTAATTACGAGGCGATCTCGCGCATTGTGCGTCTCGTTTTAATGACGCGCCCTAGGTGAAGCATAATCAGCCCAAAATAATACGCGCACGCAAATTCTTCTCTTCATCTCTCTCTCTCTCCGCTGAAAACGTACAGTGCTGTGCACACAAATACAACAGAGAGAAAGGACGAGACCAGGGGTGGAATTGCGTATATGTGGGAGGGGCGCGGGGGGCTGCTAATTAGTTCCGACATCAAAGCGAGCGCGCCGCTCTGTATCTTTCGGCGTCTCAGCTCAGCTGCTGCTGACCACTGCATTATTCGCAGAGTTTAAATTCCGTTGAATGGAAAAGGGGTGGACGCGAAAAAGTTGTTTGAACAGAACTTTTAAAATAAATAAATTCAAAAACTTTCTATTTAAGGGTTGTTTCACTGATCATAAAATGAAGATTTCTTCAAAACTATCACAATAAACTAATAATTCAGGCAAATATCTTTTTATTTTAATTGAGTAAAAAAAATTTACATGTAAAGTAAGCCCTTTCTTGCATTGAAATTGAAACTAAACTGAATCAAAAAAATGATATGGAATATAATAAGAGAGATATTAAATTTAGAAGGAAATAATTACCTCCATAAATTAATTTGTTAAAAACATATAAAATATATTTTTTTTATTCACAAAAACCAGTAATTTGTCATTCTATCTCAAAAACAGTCAGATTTTCAAAAAAATATGGCAAGTTTAGAAGGTATGAAAACCTACAAAGAAAAAAAGAAAAATTGAAACTTTATTTTTATGATCTGGTGAGTAGAGGTAATTTGTGAGTTCTGGGGTAAAAATTTTACTGAGCATGCGCGATGACGTCACACATCGCAAATGGGCAAAAGGTAAAATCCAGGTAAAAGGTCACATTATTAAATTGGGCGAGAAGGTCGAATTAGATTTTTTTTTCATTGAAATATTTATGATTTTTTAATTAGAAACATGAATTAGAATTGCAATGGTCCTAAAAAAGTGTGTTAAAAAGGCCGGCCTTGTGGGGATTTGAACCCGCTGCTTTAGGGCTCTGCTCTCTATTCAGCTGGTCTGAGCCAACGCTGCTCGAGAGCTGATCGCCAGCGAGTTACTCTCAACTCACTAGGCCGGCAATCAGTTATGGAAAAATAGCGGCTTATAAACAGAAGGTTAGACCAGGGTAGCGCAACAATCAAAATTTTCTCTGATTGTTGAGATTCTCAAAACTTGGGGCCGATAAAATATGTCATGGATTTAACAAAGATCATGTATTTTATTGATTTTAATACAAAATTATAATGATTATTATGATTTTTATTATTTTCTCCTACTATTTCTGATGATCATAAAAAAAATCAAGTAATCAATTATTCAAAAGGGTCGTGTCTCTAATTTTATATGAAACAGGTGCCGGCAAACATTTTGCAAGAAAGTCTTGAATAATTGATAACTTGATTTTTTTATAATCATTAGAAATATTAGGAGAAAATAATAAAAATCATAATAATCATTGTAATATTGTATTAAAATCAATAAAATACATGATCTTTGTTAAATCCATTACATATTTTATCGGCCCCAAGTTTTGAGAATCTCAACAATCAGAGAAAATTTTGATTGTTGCGCTACCCTGGTCTAACCTTCTATTTATAAGCCGCTATTTTTCCATAACTGATTGCCGGCCTAGTGAGTTGAGAGTAACTCGCTGGCGATCAGCTCTCGAGCAGCGTTGGCTCAGACCAGCTGAATAGAGAGCAGAGCCCTAAAGCAGCGGGTTCAAATCCCCACAAGGCTGGCCTTTTTAACACACTTTTTTAGGACCATTGCAATTCTAATTCATGTTTCTAATTAAAAAATCATACATATTTCAATGAAAAAAAATCTAAATGAATAAATAAGAAAATTTAATTATTTAGAACATTTTGGAGGACTCGATCTTAAATGGAACGTCTCTTCAGGCACGTTGATGTTTTGAAACTTTGAATGAGATTTAATTGTTAAAAATTTCATCATATTCTGTCCACATGGCTGCAGAAGTTTTAATTTTGAAGAAATAAAAAAAATACCTTTTTCATTAAGGCAACAATAGGATTCGAAGGCACAAAAACAGCATACATTTTGGAGGTGTTGAAACGCGACGTTCCGTGCTTTCCGATGTCGAGGACCGATATTTTCAAGTGAATATATTCATTTTTATTATTTATTTTTATTAATTATGAATATATTTTTCCGCTAATTTTTAAAATTCAACTGCGCATCACGTGATTAACTGTATTTAGGCGCTTCCAGGGTTATTATTGTATCCTTGTATGGTCATTAATTTTCCCTGTATGACGTCATTAAAAGAATTATTTTAAATAAGCATTAAAACCATTTAATAATTTGTTTTGCCAATTGAATACATAATTTTATAATTTGCCTATGTAATAATTGACCTCTTGCCAATTTGACCTTCTCGCCCAATTTAATAATGTGACATTTTACCCAATTTAATAATTTGACCTTTTACGGCTTTTACCCATTTCACCTTTGCCCGTTTGCCCATGTGTGACGTCATCGCGCATGCGCAGTAAAATTTTTACCCCAGAACTCACAAATTACCTCTATGTACTCTGGTGGCATTTTTTTTTTCAAAAATTATTCTTAAAAACTCATTAACACTAAAAATGGCAGCAATATTTGATTTAATTTGAAAGAAACTTGAATTCTTTATAGTTCCGTAATTTTTTGCTCATAAATAATTAAAAAAAACTGCAACTTGATGCGTAGAATATTTAGGTTTTAAGCATTTTTGATTACATTGAGAGTTGCAAGACTCTTTAATAATTACTTTTTTTACTCCAGTTGATGCAGTGGTGGATGCAGCTACTTTGCAATATTACTTGACGGGCCCTGGGAATAATTCGTGGTGAGTGCAATATTTTTTTTTTTATTCGCTCATTCACTCTGTGGCAGACTTTTACAAGGAGATGGGATGAATCTTTTTGGGCGAAAGTAGAGCAGTTGCACCCAAGCAGGGGGTGGTTTTTGTGAAAATGGAATGAGAGTCAGCCGCTCACACATTTCGACAAAGTTGGAGGGGGCGGCGGGGAGGCGCTCGCGCTGCCACTATAAGGGCACTCAGCTTAATGAAACGAGTAATCCGGATCCCCATTTTAATATTCATTTAAAACCTCCGACGAGCGAGTGAGCGAGTCCGACTCGCGGACGGCTGGTGCCGCAAAACCATTCCGACCCGTCCAATCTACTCGCGAATATTTGATGAAATTTTGTTTTCTTTAGTTGCCTTCTGCTCTTGGCAAACACGTGCCGACTGGACAGCTAATCAAAAATATCAGTTACTCAAAATTTAAAATCACTAAATAAATAAAATTACTCTTCAAAATTAAATATTTAAATAATCTAAAAATCCCGTTCATTGTGCGTTGATTTAGTTAAAGAATTAGAAAGATTAAAATTTTCACAATTGATGTCTCAAATATAAAATTTGTATTATTTTTTCTCTAAATAATTTTAAATTTCACGCAATAAATTTGAATCAAGGTCAAATTGGGTAATGAATTTCGCAGTTGAACCGCGTGCACAAATCAAAAGTTTGGAGCCGTCTATTAAATTTTCTGCCATCGGAAAGTTTGCAGCGCCCTGCCTGCTTTATTCGTTTTCCACATCAAATTAATGAAATAAATTTTGCTCCGCCAGCCGCCCTCCGCCTCCTTTGATAAATTGTAAAACGCTATTCATGTTCTCTCTCTCTCTAGCCCCGCCGAAAACAGCACATACATAGTTGGATTTTAATTTCGAGAACAAAACAGCTGATGAAGGGGTAGCCGAGCTCTTATTACTTGCCTCCGCCACCGCACCGCCGCTTTTCAATTTTAATGGATAATGAAAATGCCTGGGTAATTTATTAGATCCATAATGAAATATCTGCAGATTTGCGTCGGCCTGGCTTTCTACGCGCATGCCAAAACGGCTCTCCTTCCTCCGGGCCTATTACAAATTAATTTTCGCCCCGTCCGGGCCGTCCGAAATATTTGCCTTGATTCGTTTCGTGAGCCAGCGTGGGTCCATAGAAAATCTGAACAAGAGCGTACGCGTTTAATTCTGTCTGCGGTTTGCTAATGATTGTGCGCGATAATTGAAAACAGATTCGACGCGAGGCTGAAAAAGAATCGCGCACAAAAAGTTAAACGTTTTATTTGTGTTGGCGGAGCCTTTAGACTTCAGACGCCGCGGCGAAGGTCAATCTTTTTATATTATGCCCGAATGGATGCACCATTATTTGATTCGCTCAAAAGCTTTACTCTGCCTTGTTTACAAGTCGAATCTATTTTCTATTTTATTAATTTGTTGAAAAACCACGGAGGCATTTCTTTTAATTCTGAAATTCAACAAAAATTCCCGACTCAAGTTGAAAACGCGATCAACAAATCTTTTTTCCTAAAATTGCCCATTTTTTAAAAATTCCTAAATATATAAATTTGAAAACTGACCTGAGGCCTCCCAGGCATCGAAGTCACTGGCGCTGCAGAATTCACAGCCAGCCGCCGCCCCCGTCGCGACGGCTGACCACCCCCTCAGTCTCTGCTTCTCCTCGGCCGACCGACCTTACCCTTGCGGACAGGGCCGGTCTGGGGGCCGCCGGCGGTTGGTCCTCCTGGTGTGCCTGCAACATCAACATTCCATCTTCAAATGATTCAAATCTCAAGAAAATTAAGAAATTCTTCCAAATTTAATTATTATTATTTACATTAATTAATTTTTCAAAAATTAGGGTATAATTTTTAATTTATGTTGAAAATTTCTTTTAACAATACGTTTTTTTTTTAAATCCAGGTATAGTTTTTGTGTTCATAAATGTATAACCGAACACCTGAATTGTGCTGATGTGCAGGAATTAAGAATAAAAAAGTAATTGTCACAAATTAAAATATTAAGATTTTACAGCAACTTGATTTTTTTTTTAAATAGAGATATTTTTGCTGCTCGAATTTCAAATTTGAAATTATAAGAAAAAGCAGCCATTTAAAATAAGCAAATTTAATGTGTAAAGAAAGAGTCAAAGTTTAAATATTGTTTAAATGTTTTGGGGGGGAAATGAATATTTACATAATTTCTCATAAAGAGAAATAAATACCCTTTTCTCATTTATAAAAAGGCCAAATCATTTCAAAAAATGAAGAAAAGAACTTGTGATATATCTGATCATAAAAAATAATCCAAGGAAAGATCTGCAGACAGGGAAGAACGTAAATAAGTGATTTGAGAAAAGAACTTGTATTTTTTCTTCTTTTACAGTCACGAAAACAAGTCTGTGTGTTAGGAATGCGATAGCCGGTCGGAGATAATAGAGACCTGCTTGTCTTCCAGCGACCCACCCACGCGAAGGAGGTCTTACCTGGTGTGAGGGGCCCTTGACCCGTGACCGATGCACCTTTGATTAACTTATGCCAGTCCTGCTCGCACACCGGCGAGCCGGCCAGGAGACAAAATCGATCACCAGGCATTAGTTGGCAACCACACTTTGTGCACGAGAAGCATTTCAGGTGGTAAACGTGACCTTGGGCGCCGGCACGCATCACAAACTCGCTCGCTGGGATGTTTTGGCCGCAGCCTGAGCACGGCGCCGACGGGCCAAACAACCTGAAACCAAACAAAAACACAAACAAATTAATTCAAATTCTTTGATCTGGATAGAAAAAACTGGTTGGTATAAAATTTTGTAAATTTCGATATTTCTGCAGAAAATTAGCAATTTATTCAAATTTCCAAGAAAAACTTTTATGGATTTAAGCAATATTATGATGCACTTTTCATGTTTTATAAAAAAGGTCTTTATCAACTTATAAAAAATTACATTAATTCAAAATTTTTACAATTTATGTTGTAAAATTAAATAATATTATGATTTTTTATATAAAATTTCTTCCACATTGCAAGAAGCCATGTCATTTTTTTAAAACTAAATATTGTTATAATTAACTCTTTAATTTTTTAATTTGAAAAGTTTTTACTACAATACAAATTGCCTATAAATCTTTTCTGTAATTCATTTAGTTGCAAATTATTTTTTTTGTTAATTTATTATTTATTTAATTTCATTTATATTCCTTTCAATTGCTATGAAATTTAAAAAATTTGCAACTTTTTCATTTCCATTTTGTTCACGTTCACATCCCATAAAAAGATTTATGGAAACTCGTCTAGCAAAATACTTCACTTTCGTTTTGCACAATCGAATTCTCTAAATGATAGTGTGGGAATTAATCTTTGGTGAGAATTTCAAAGTATATCCTTTTCTATTTGCACAATTTTCATCGCGTCTGCAAAATGACCTCAGCAACAATTTTGTATGAGAGGCTTCAGCTTAATAGAGAGAAATGATAGAAAAAGAAGCAGTCTAGAGTGGAATTTTCAATATAACGACGTCTGTTATATAAATGCCGATGCACCTCTCGCACTTCAAACGACTGCAATATAATAATAGTCGCGCCATAGTAAGGAGCATTTTCGCCGCCGTCAATTGCACACACGCTCAATACAAGCCACGGGGAAATTGGTTCGCAATACATACGAGTACTGCACGTTCGAGTTCCATCACCTTGTTAGGGCATGTACCAAATGAATAAATGGGGAGGTACATAAAAGAAAGGAAAATTGTTCCGCACGCGTTATTATTTTTACGAGCGAGCATTGGAAATAAAACGGAAGGAGCAGGGAATTTAATGGAGTGTGCGGCGGCGGATGATTCAATAACAATAACAAAAGGCGATTAAGTCGAGTCGCAGTGTAGCATGTGATTGGATGAATCCGCGGCCTAATTGCGCGCGAATAATTAGCCCAAGATTAGCAGCACAAAGGCAGCGAGAGAAAGGGGAAGTGAGTCCAATTACGCGAATCGATTTTTAATAATGCGCAGCCGATTGAAAACATGCAGCCGAATCTTTTTAGTTAAATTGGAAAACTTTGAATGAGCTCCGTACTCGGGAGGCTGTTTGCGATAATGGCCGCAGGGAAGCAAATAATGGCGTTTGCCTCTCGATCCAGATTCTCAACTTGTTGTTTTCAGCAAATAGGGTGCTTCCGGACGTAAAAACTCTAAAATTTTATCAGAATTATAATTAAAATGACCCTAAAATTTAATCAAAATTCCAAATAGGTGCGATATTTACGAAACATTTAAAAATAGTTGCAGTCAGTCAAAAGTTTCAAAATCTTCTTTATCAGAATATTTTTTAGTTTCCGTCAGATTTTTTACATTAATTGTTTAAGTATTTGATAACCATTCAATCTAATCAAAAAACAATAATACTTTTTTAGTTTTTGCATTTTGCAAGCGACTTCGTTTTTGCCTTCTCTGGTGGGATTTTTAATAAAGACTTTGATTCTGAAACAACAGGCCGGCAAATAAAAAGGCGCGTACGCAGGCTGGCAATATATATGTACGGGCAAGTGCACACGATATTAGGCGAGGCGAGGGGGTGGCGGGGGTGACTGTGTGTTGACAGCTTGCAGCTATAAGAGTTAAGTTTTTTCCATCCATCACAATTTATTGTCGTTTTGCTTGGCATGCATGCAGCAATATGTCGGCGCCTTGTGTTTATTAAATTTCTCCCTTGTTTCCCACCCCCGTCGCCAAAAGCGGCACACGAGAGACGGACGGATTTCCTTCGCCAACTTTTATTGCTTTGAGAGGGATGATGGGTAGCAAAAGAAGAGATTTCGATTCAAATCCATAATTACATTTTTGTCTCAGAGAGTACATAATATAGGGATGCTTATTGTAGAAAAATTTGCCAATTGTTTCGAAATAAAAATAATTTAAATTATTTCAGCCCGTTAAATAAAGGTTTAATTTTAATTAATGAATTTTGGATCTGAAATGCATTCAATTTATTTTATTTTTTAATAGGAATCGTTTTCAAAAGATAATTATAAGCGCGTCAGGTGTTGAGCAAAATGAATTGTGATTGTTGAAGTAATTTTGAACAGGAACCACTAGAGCTACCTCCCGCTGACGCCTAGACCAAAGTGGCCTAGGTTTTCGTTGATAATTAAAAGATAATGAGACGCACATGTGCAGCCGGGCGATAATGAACGTGCCGGTCTATTAAGCGCAGGGTGCAAGAGTCGGAATGAAAGTCTCATCATCATCATCAGTGCAGCCACAATTCATTTCGCTATGCTAATACAAATTAAATCGCACAGCGTGTGCGTCGTCGTTAGCTCTGGGCCATCTCATTGTTTTAGATTTTATCTCGCTTTGCGAATTCGACCGCGACTGCGTAACTTTATTTTTAACTCAAGGAGGGACCACCAATCGATTTAGGTTTTGCCATTCAGAACGTCTGAATATGGTAAACTATAACAGCGTGGTACTCAAAAGTGTGTTAAAAATTAATCGTTTTTTGCTTTGTTACGAATGGATAAAACTTAAAAGGACTAATGACTTTCTTATAGTTTTTAAAGTCAATAAAACATCCAGGAGCAGTATAAAAATCGCACTGAAGATTTTTAAAATTATAAAATAAATCTATTTGCATTGTCGCAAGTCAAGAGAGTTTTAAAATTTGATTTTAATTCAATATTAAAAAATAAATTGGAACGGTTTATCCATCACTATCCCTTGCAGCTGCAACGACCTTTTTCTTCCCACTATGTACTTTTTGATATCTCCTTGTGCACACATAGACAATGAATCAGCAGCAACTGGGGTGCACTCTCTAAATTATCCGCCACTAATTGGCCTCTCACGAAACACTCGGCCGTGGTCCAGAACCATCTTTATTTATCTCTTCACTTTGCTTTTTCCATTATTTTTCTCACTCTAGGATAAGGAGGGGATTGCAATGTACTGGAGCTCTTTTGGCGCAGCTGCTAATTAAAAATTCGATTTATTGAGCGGCGGCCAGAGGAACTAATTAAAACGGTGCGGACTTTATTGCCAATTAAGACGCCGTACGTTTTTATTGCGCCTGCATTCAAATGCTAATTATTTACTTCAAGTAGCATGTAAAATACCGGGCCATCTTCTCGAAATATTGCAAAGAAACTCTAATAAAAGTTTGGAGATCGTTTAAAAAATTAAACAATTTTCTTTTTAATTTTTAACTCAACTTTAGGAAATAATTTTGAAGCAATTTGCGTGCAAGATGAGCGTGTAATAAATTAGGAGCAAGTCGTTGACGACGATAATAATAATCGTAATTAATTAGCGCACGTTCGCCGCCCACGACATTGTGCGAAGTCGTGTGCGAGCTCTTTTGAAAGCGTATAAATTCTTGCTTGTTAATAATAATTACAACAGAGGCAGCGCAAGTTTGAGGAGGCATTGTGTGACGAGGCCCATCGTTGGAGTGGGTGCTGCACCGCCCCATTGTCGAAGTTTCGCTGCGAAATCAGTTCAAAGTCTTCTCGTTACTAATATGGCTGGCACTGCAAATTAATATCTCTTTGCTCGGGCGACAGGGTCGGACTGTCGAGCGGACAACCGGGCCATTAATCACACAATTGCATTGACACGCGCGATTATTTGTGCGACACGACATTCTGTAACTGTCCATATCAAAGGAGAATGAGAGAGCCAGAATTTGATTAAGTTGGCACGCTCTGATTTGGCAACCGAATTTTATAAAGCTAGACTTAGGAATTGAGAAGTTTGCTTCAACCTACATAAATAGAAATAACTAAATGACAATTTGTAAATAATTAACATCAACACAAAATTTCTCTAACATTTTGTCATTTATTTTACAACTTTTATTATTATTTTTTTTTAGTCGGGCTTGCAATAAATGTGGTTGAGATTTTTAAAGAATAATGCTCAGTCGAGTAAACGACATCGTGTTATTCGGCAAAAGTATTATTTCTTTGTGGAATGGATTTCCTTCTTGTTGTAATGCGACATTGGACGCCATTTAAAAGCAGGCAAAAATTAATGCCGCCGAATTCGTTTGGTGCGTCGCCAAATCGCAGCCACTTACACTGGTATACAGTGTCGCGCCGCAGACGCAGCCCGGGTCTGGAATGGATGGTTATGGAGGAAAAATGGCGCCTCATTACCGCCACCGCCGCCGGATTGATTACACAGCGCGTTAATTGGGCTGCATCAGGTGGAATTATTGCAGACAATGAGGGGCTGCTTGTTAATTAGAGGAAGCGCTAAATGGATTGGCCGGGGCTCTTTCCTTTATGCTGCAGCTCGGATCAGCGGTCTCGCCTAATTTGCAAAACTTCAAATGGAATTTCGCAGGCCGCAAAAGCCAGGGGATTTGATATTCAAATGACCACAAACTGAAAATTTCCTAAATTTAAAATTTGAACAACATGACTTTTTTTGTTTTAATTTTTAGGAAAAATTAAAGTGTGTTGCACACTTTTGCGGGGCGTTTCTTTGATTCGCACAGGTCATTAAGCAAATGATTCGTCTTTTAATTGCCACGTACGATAATTAGAAAAGAAGGTTTGAGGCGTCGATAAGACGGAGAGCGAGTCATTATTGTTGGCCACCCACTGGTCTCTGGCGAACACAATGAATCACTCGTTCTGATACATTTAATTAATTCAATCGCGCAAATGCATCTCTCCACTGCACAACAACACACACACGGAAAACACGACCACATGCAAACACGTCGCCTTTCTCTTATTATAATAATGAGCACGCTTTATCACAGTGACATCACTTCGATAGATGCGAGTCTGATTTCGAAAACCAGCTTCGGAAAGCACACAGGTGCTCAGAGAAAAATTGGTAGAGGCACCTGCAGTACCGTTTGGCTTTCTCGGAATTGATGCCTTGGAATTCGGTGATGAGGTGGCACTAAAATTCCACATCAAAGACCCACGTCAAACGAAACTTTCATTTTCAAAATAAAATAATAAGTTTTTAAAATAAATCTTAAATTTAAATAATATTTTAATTTCAAATACAAATTGATGCTTTTTTAGAGGCATCTGAATTTGAATGGGGTGGATACGCTGAAGCTTTTAATTAATTATTTTTTTAAGTAAAAATCTGTTAAAATACCCTGGTAATTACAGCCCCGGTTCTTTTTGATCGGTCTGTTTTTCTCGTCAAATCTGGCGCGATTGGTGTTGTTGTTGTCGTCGAAGTTTTCGCGATAATAGGTATAGGGAGCGAGAATCGGAGCCTGCAAATTGGTGTTTGTGCGGCGCCGAGGATGGACGTTTAATAATGCGCGCGCGAGTGGCGTGCATGATCAAGCGCCATTAATCACCCCCGTGTGCACCGCCGCCGCCCGCTAAATAACAGCCCGACTCGGAAATTAATATATGCGGCGCACAAGTATACAAAATTTTAATTACTTTCAGCCCCTTTTATTAATTGCTGCACTCACGCGGTTTGCACGCGGCGCGAAATTTTTTTTCATTTCCACACAAGTGCGAATTCCGCAATAATTAAATTTTCTGTTTAATATTCCCAAATAAGGAAAATGTGTTTAACCTCTTTTATTGTATTATTTCAATATTAACACGATGGAGCTGCAGCGGCCATTTGTAATTTTCACCTGTCACTTGAATTAAGTAAGTTGGCGCTGTGTAGGCGGAACAATGAGCCGCTCTATAAATTATCCGGCTCTCTTGACGCAATCTTTTAACGTGCAACTCACTTTATTCTCCCGACGAGAAGCACGAATTTATTTTTCGAAGACGGAAAGCTTTTGCTAAGGTGTGAATTACATAGAGGTAATAATTTTTCATGCTCTCAACATGAAAATGAATAAAAAAAGGACGCACCGACTTTGTCTGCAGATGAAATAATGAGAACAGTGTCTTTTTGGGCATTAAAATTTAAAAAAAGTAATTTGAAATATTGCAAATGAAAAACATAATACAATACAAAATTGCAGGAGTATGGGCAAAATTTTTATTAAACTTGCGAATTGAAACCACAAAACCCTCCGTACAGATAAATTAAAATTAAAAATAAGCCTTGAAAGCTAAAAAGTATGGATAAGTTACAATTACTTATGCATAGTATTTAATTGAAATATTAACATTGATATAAAATTACTTGTAGTCCCTGAACCTACATGACTGTAAATCACACTCTGATCATCTCTCACCATTTAGTCTGTAATGGTTTATGAATGAAATGAAATAATTTCATTTATGATATTTTAGTATTCGGCATGATGTATTTATCAACCAATTTTGATTTATTTTTTTAGTTCTCTCCTGGTTCTCTCTAGAAAATAAACCTCAAAAGCCATCTAAATCATCTATAAAAATAAATAATCGCATAGCTCTCAGCCTTAAAAATTTTTAAAACCCTAATTATAATTTAAAATTTGCCACACAGTTTATCCAAATGAACATGATTTGCATTATTCAAGCGGCAAAATTTGAGGATCATCTTGAATTTGAGAACAAGCTCTTTTGAGAAAGTTGCAGTGACTAAGTAAATATTGGATCCCCTTTGAAATTCATCTCCGAATATGAGAGCAAGAAGTTTAGTGTTTCCCTCTTCTGTGCAAATATATGCATGAGCTGCCGTTTAGAAAACTTGGTGCGCATATTTGAAGTTTCAGCTCGAATTCTGGTGGAAGTGAAATTCTGAATCGAAATTTAATCTGGCCAAGTTGGTTGGTGGTGGGGGTGGTGCCGGACGAAAAGCAGAGAGCCCGAATCAATTGATGGAAATGCACTTGTGATGAGATGGTTGGAGGTAATTCCGCAGCACTGGGGCTTTTCTTTCACTCGCCCGCTCTTTCGCTCGCTCGCGAGGGATGGTTTGTGTATAAAAAGCTTTTAGTGCTGATTGCCAGGCGAAAAAGGATTTTTTGTTTAGCCACCACGCCGCCCGCTCTCTTTTCAAAAGGATCTTGTTTTATTTCGTGTACGTGGTGCATAGATAACCTTTCTGCATGTTCAATCCAAGCCTCATCAAACTTTTATGATCGCATTAACGCCGCGATATTTTGCTTTTCGATTGAGCACCTGCTCGCGCTTCCCACATTCGCAGCAATCAAGAGGCTTTGAATGCGCGCATTATATTATTTAATACTCGCGAGAGTGGTACGATTTTCGCCGAAATTGCGCCATATTTGCTCGCTGCCTTCGTTCCCAGGCCAATCCGATTGGGTGCAAATCTTGCTTCAATACTCGACGATTGGCACATACTTGAATTTGCAAAGTGTTGCAGAGGAGAGACCGACTTTTCGCGGAATGTTCAAGAAACCGTTGAGAACTGAGTGCAAAAAGCGTGCATTTCTTCAGGCTTATATTGAAAAATTGTATTATTTGAATATTTTTTTAGAGAACAAGAAGTGAGCAAAAAATTCATTCAAAGGAATTTTATTGAAAAATGTTACAAGAAAATTGACATGAATATAATTTCTCATTTAATTTTTGAGCTAATAAATAAATAAATAAATAAATAAATTGCTCTCAAATTAATTATTGCTGAAAAAAGGACAATTATTATTGTAAACAGATGTTCCTGTTTATTTCATTTAATTAATAATTGTTACCTTTTAGAAGTGCATATTGCTTTAACAACTTTTTGCAATTTCACACTTTGGCTAAAAATACTTTGTTTCCTTCAACTTTGGTTCCAATAATTTAAAACGGTTACAGTGAATTTTTTTCTCAATTTAAATAAATGAAGTTTGGTCATTTGTTGGGCACTTAATTTTGCTAAAAAAATTTAGGAATATATTTTTAAACAATTTGATGCCACAAAAATTTTATTCAGTGCGAACATTAAATTTTGATCCCTTTCCGGCCAAATGATTTAAAAATAAAATTTATGAAAGCCCATCGCTTTGTAGCGAGATTAGCGTGGCCAATTACGCTCAATATTTAAATTTTTAGTGTCGCCACAGCCGTGTAATGAGCGTTCGCAGCGAAACACGGCCGTTTAATGTCCCATTCGCGTGGTCAGATATTAAACACCAAAATTTATGCTGTTGCATTATCGCCGCCGACCGCTCGCCGAGAAGTACCGCGTCTTTTTTATTATATGAGGGACGAAAACCACAGCGAGAATATAAAACCAAACGCTCCGTGGACAAAAAAAATACACAAAAATTATCGGCAAAACATTAAATTTAACGGTGGATCGCGTTTTTATTTTTATAATTCACGCGATGCTGCAATTTGTGTGCGAGGGGGTTGTAATTTTTTATGGCTCTCAATCAGGGTGGTTGGCTGCACTGATTGGCAAAATAAATAGCGAGAGTGCATTCAAATTTGGCGCATGAGGCAAATTGATCTCGTCAGTCTCCGCCACCGAATTAGGGTGGCTCGTTTAAATCAGCCGGCGGTGGAGCGCAGGGGGTGACATTAGGGTGCGGGCGGGCCTCCCTGATTGGTGTACGTAGGCAGAGATAACCTAATATTGTGATGAAGGGGCCCAGTAATGAGAGGGTGGGTGGAGGAGGATGGGTGCGCTCTCACGTGTGTGTGCCTTTCCATCTGAAGCAGTCTGCGTATGTAGTTGTTGACTTTTCCCGCTGCAAATTTACCTGCCAGCCGTGATTGTGTGCGCTGTACTTTTTGTCAAGCACGCACACAGACTTTCCAGCTTTGCAGTTTTTGCTCGCTCCATTTTTATTTTCATTTTTCCCACAATTCTTTGAAGTTTCAAATAGTAAAAAGGATGTGATTAAAGTTAAGCAAATGTAGCAAATTAGATGATATTGAAATGGAAAAATAACTCTATGATATTTTATTATATATATGGGTTTGATAAGCTTCAGAGCTAAAATATTTTTTACAATTGCATGTAAGCAAAAGTGCTTCTCACTAAGCTTGAAATTATTTTCTGTAAAATTATCTTCTTGAAAAAAATTAAGGGAAGCTCAATCGTTAAATTATACAAACTGAATTTTAATTGGAAATTTTAGAACTAAGAATTTAACTAGAAAAATTAACCTAAAGAACTTTTATTTAAAATTTAAACCTAGGCTAGGCTAATGCGTTATTTATGGAAATTGTTTATAATCAGAATTTCTGGAAATATCTGAAAAAAATAATTTGATTGTATTTTGCCTTGTATATATGTATGAACGTTTTATTTTATTCAGCATATTTCTAGATATTATACCTCACGTAAATGTTATTTTTACTGTGTTGTTCTTCATAAAAAAGCAAATTAAGCTGTCTAGCGTTTGGATCTAAAATTAAATTAGGCTAAAATTTCATTAATTTCATAATACTTCCATTATTTTTTTTCTCAATGATACTGTGAACAGAAATTTTCACTTTTCCTTCAGATTCTTATGCAGAACAGTTTGCTCTGATAAGTCTCGCCCCAAAAAACGACTGAATATTTTTAAACGGAGCTATAATACTATAATGAGCTGATTTTTACTATAAAAATGTCATTAAATTACATCAGAATGAATTTAAAAGCAATTAATTATTCTTTAAAAAAGCTGCAGAATTTGAAATGATAAATGTCAAGTAAATCTATCATGATTTCATTTCCAATGTATTTTTGGTTAATTGGAAAGATTTGTTGTTAAATTTTTTCTAAAATTTCACTCACCGAACGTAGTCGTTTTTGCAGAGGATCATTCCGGCCTTGGTGAAGCAGGAGGAGCCGATGTCTGCGAGCATCGCCGCGCAACAGGAGCACTTGAGGCAGCCGTTGTGCCAGTAGCGGTCCAGCGCGTAGAGAAGGAAGCGCTCGAGGATTTTGCCACCGCAACCGGCGCACACCTTGATCTGGGGGCCGCCGCCCCCCTGGCCGCCAGGGTGCATGTGCTGCGACGTGGGGCTGCCCATGCCCCCCATGGGACCGTTATTGTTGACGTTGTTGTTAGCGTTGATGTTGTTGTTGTTATTGTTGTTGTTGTTGAGGATGTGTTGGGGCGGCGGGTATGGCCCCGGGTGGGCGTGGTGCAGCGTGTGCCCCCCGTGGGGGTGCATGCCCCCCTCGTGCGGGTGGTGGTGCATGTGGGGCGGTCCGCCCCCGTTGCTCACCGGGGGCCCGCCCATCCCCGGGGGCGGGTGTTGGTGCGGCGGCGCCTGAGGGGGTTGCTGGTGGTAGCTGCTGTTGTCCGGCGGCGGCGAGTGCGGCGAACTCAGCTCCGAGTACGCGTGGAAGTGCGGGTTCATCACGGTGGCCAGGGCTGCCAGTTTGTTGTTTGCTGGCGATCTGCAAAAATAAGGAAAAAAATATTGAGTTTTAACGTCTGGAAAATTTAAAATAAATTTTTAACTAAATGACTCTCTACTAAATGAGGCTAACTGCACCGGATGCTGGGGTATTTATGATGATTTTAGCAAAATTCTTGCAAGGGGTTTTGCCATTTTGCAGACTTGGCATCGCTTTTATCGGCTTTTATCAAATTACGAAGAGCGGAGAGAAAATCCCGCTCTTTTCTCGCTCTTTGAAGCTTACAATTAGGCAATAGTGGCGCAGGCGTCGCTTTTTCAAAGTCATATAGTTGGTCTTATGATTTGCTGTTGTATCGGTTGTGTTTTTAGTTTCTATTTTTCAAAGTTTCCCCTGTTAAAATCTTATAATATTTAATTTTTGTAAGGTAATAACTTTTTTTGTAATTCAAATTAATTACTTAAAACAAAACCGCTGAAAACTTGAACTCCATACATTTCCTAAACACTAGATTTTTTTTAAATAATATCAGCAATATTATATTATCGTCATGCAGGTTTAGAATTTAATCAGATATATAGAATTAAATTACAATTTAGTTAAATAGAACAACTATTCCATATTTACTTGATTTTGTAGATGGTGGTTTTTATCGACAATCCTTTCTTTATTTTGCGCAATTCATAAACGCAGCCGAGAAAATCCCATAACCTCCACGAAAATTTTATAGGCGGCGTAAATTAACATTTGGGCGCCATAAAAATGGATGTAAAGCTAAAGAGATCAAGATTAAAATGCCCTTAGTAGTTAAATTTAATGTACTATACATCTCAGGAGAGAACAGTTAAAATTACGGCCGCCCGAACGCAGTGAATCTTTCATTAAACGACTTTTCGTCTGCCGCAAGCATAATTCGATTACAAAAAGGTCCAAAATTAATAAAACATCAGTTCCATTTAATTTACCCGGGCAGGCATATAATGGGAAACAAACCATTTTCGGCGACAATAGTCTTTTTTGAGAAAAACCCCGCGACCGATTTAATTTCGATCTGGCGCCCCAATTCGATCCCAGAGGGTAAAATTACAGGGTTGGACCCAGACTGATCGCAGCGCCATCGACTATAACCAGAATAATAATGTAATGATGATTCTCCGCTCCCAAGGTTATACATTCTGCTCTCTGAAATTATGCTCGGCTGAAAAAGCAGGCGAGCGACCGGTGTGTCGCTCTTTTTTTCGTTTTATTTTTTATTCTTTCTGTTCGGCGGACAGAGAGAGAGAAAGAAAAAGGCGCGAAGGTCATTTATATTACGGAGCGATGATACAAGATAATTCCGCGTTAAACTGTTGAGTTGTAACCGCGAATTGGCACTGGTGTGTGCACTCATTGCGAGAGAGCCAATTTATGGCTTCATTAGGCCGCCAATTGATTTCGCCTCAGTCGTGATTTCTTTTTCATCCGACCGCAATTCGAAAAATGATGGCCACTTTCTGCTCGTTCAAGCTTTTATGCATCCCCTTCATATAAAAACTTCAACATATTTTTTTTCTTTTTTCATAACAAGTGAAGCACAAAGTTTGATTCCTTGTGCAAATGATGGTTAAAAAATAAAATTACTCCACTAAATATTTTGTATAGTTTGAATTAGGATTTAGGAATGAAGTTTGTCGATTTGCTTTTTAATTAAATTTTAAGTACAATTTTTAATTAAACTTATTTAACTTTGAAACTTGATTTCATTTAATCAAAAAATGAATGCCTCAAAAGGTTCAAAAATATTTACCACAAGAATCTCTATAGAAATTTTATTCTTTTATTATTATTATTATTTTTTTTTGCATGATTTATATTGATTTATATTATGCAAAAACTAACTTTTACTTTTCAAAATCCAAATTATGGTTTCTTACTACAATAAAATGATCCTTTGGAATAAAATTTATAATTCCCCATTAATGAAAATTTAAAATCAAAAATCTTTTCCACAGTGCAAAGAATAACATTTTTTTTTAATTTACTTGTTTTTGAAATTTCACAATGAGTTTTTCCAAGTGCTCGTAAATTCGTGTGTAATTTATGAAGCAACACCTGGCCATAAATCGCGATAAATTAATGGTGCTGATTGGCTCGGCGGTCGTTTGTTTCGCTCAAATTGCTCGTTACCCCGATGCAAACAACAGCGATTTTCCCTTTTGGAGCGAGAGGCAGGCAGGCGAGTGCACTGATTGCAAAAGTGTCGAGGTGGAATTAATGAGAAGGTGAGGTGTAAATCACGCGTGACGTCACCCGGGTCACGACTGGCCGCCGTGATTCCACATAACTCAAGGATTTTTCCACTCAGCCAATAAATTTCCACGTTCGCACACTGCGCAGGGGTGCACGCTGAGTAGCGTTGATTTTTATTAAAAGTGTCAATAGCACCGTCGGCCCTGATGGATTTATTGCACAATGGGGGCGGCGGGTTAATTAAAATGTGTTTATTGAAATATGGAGCTTTTTGCAGCCTTTGTCGCACGCACTCTGACAGGGAGCTTTAATTGGAAAATTTCGCAGCCTTTCGTTGCCGTTTGATTGGACGGATCATTTAAATTGAACCCGGTCTCTTAGTTCACACCTAACTAGTTAGTTTAGGATTTTGTTTAATTAAAATTGAATAATTTTATTATTTATTTAGCTGATTGCTAATATAAATAACTTAAAAATTAGTAAATATTAATTAAAAATAATTATTTTAGCATCAAATTAAAAGATTTCTCCTTTTAAATATTTAAAAGTAGGAGTTTATAATTGAATTCCGAAGAAAAATACAATTGAATATTCGTTTTTTTCTGTTTAAAGTAAATGTTGTGACAATTGTCACTCCATAATACCAATTAAATTAAATTTTAATTTGAATTGTAAGATTAAAATCCTGTCAATAGTTAAATAATAGATTCTGCATCGGATTATTGGCAAAACACTTTTTTGCGCCTTTTCCCACAAAAGAAGCTTTGACTCTCCCATCTAATCAATCAAAGAATCAATGGGAGCAGAGTATTTTCTGCGAACTCTTCCTTGCTTCTCTCGGCGGCAAATCAGCGTCACTCGAAATCGGTTTACAGAAAAGCCTCTCGTGTTCTATTAGGCATTATTATTATTTGCTCGACGACGAATCCTTTTGACTCTCTGTGCGTGCTGGTTTTTTATGGGAAATATAACGCGCAGAGAGAGGCGAATGCGGCAGAGCACAAAAGCGTATCACCGCGAGTGGATAATCAAATGAGAAGTACTTAGTGCTGGTTCAATAGCTGATAATTCGAAATGACTGCGTGTAAGAGCTCGGGGCATGAACAAAACATCATTAGGGCCGCAGTGAGTGCTCCGTCCGTGCTGATTGAATGGAGTGCTGCTTTTATTACTATGCGAAAGAGCTCGACTCACTCGGCCGCCCTTTTAGCCCCCATCCATCCACTCGCACAGATATGGATTTATATATTTTTACCCAAACGCGCCGGCAGCTGGCGTGCGATTGAGCAAAGTCCATTAGGGACACACATTTTTTTAAAATAATGCACTATAGGAGGGAAGGATTGGATTATTTCAATTATTTTAGCACGTCAAAAACCCTTCTGAAAAATTAGAATAAAATTGTATAGGAAAAAATTCAAATGGGCTTTGGAATTCCACAGAACTATTATCAAACTAGAATAGTCCTCAACAAAACAAAGTCAACGATACCATGGAAGGATAATTTTGCATCAAAACCGACTGATTTATTTGCGTTTGAAAATTTGACCTGATCGCCGTTTTATCCAAGATGGCTGTCGTTTGGAAAATTGAGAATATTTATGCCATTTTTATACAAAAACACCATTCCAATATGTCTTTGAAATCCTCTAGGCAAGATCTATCAAATTATGAAATATTTGTGTAAACTCAATTCCCCCCTTTAAATTTTGATTAAACGTCATGGCAATCAAAATTGAAATTGGCAATTTACTTGTACATAATGGAGTGAAGTTAATCAAGTTGTAAATAAATCCGACCTCATTTGTGTGTAAATTGTTGCAACCTGACGCGGCGTCTGCAGATAAAAGAAAACAAAGCGAAACATCTTTAACGTGTGTGCTGCGCGATAATGGCGGGCGCGCGCAATCTAGACTTAATCAACTGTTATTGCGAGCGAATATTACGTCGGGGCAAATAATCAGCACGACTCGGCTGATTGTCCGCTGCAGCGAGAGAGCGAGCGGCTTTCATTATTGAGATTTCATTGCAGGGCACTCGCAGTCGGCGAGATGTTTGATTAGCTCTCGCCGGCGCAAAAAGGCGTCTGGAGGGCCCTCGCCCGTCCGTCCCATCGCCAGCAAAAATCAAACACTTTTTACTAACAGGTGCCCCTTCAATTAGCCAATTATTTCCTCCAACTCGCCAACAAATCGAGCAATTTGAAAGCTTTTTTTCGAGGAAAGAATATTTTACAAACAGGTTAAAAAAAATTAGGTAATTTAAATTATTAAAATGGGAAAATCGTGGATTAGAAAATTCAAAATATTAATTTCCTATCCTATTTTTTTCCTACAAATTAGCAAATTTGAATAAAATCTTTATAATATTGGAGAGAGAAAAATCTGGATACTTTATAACAGTTAATATTTTAGCAGAATCCCTTTAATTAAATTTGTCTGCGTAAAACGACGTTAAACTCGTAAATAAGTGTTGTTAAGCGTGTGGTGTAAATTTTGGACAGCAAATTAAAATTAATTAGAATGATGGTGGACGCGTGCTGTTCAAACAAGCGACACGGGAGTGCCACAGGTGGATATGAAAATTGATATTAATTATTTTAATTGGCCAATCCGACGTGGAACGCTGTCGGCGGCCGAGTTGGCCACGCTTGGAATTATGCGCGCCGCCGCAGCCCACTGACCGACACATAATATTGTTCTACACGTACACACATTGTAATCCGTGTGATTCTACACATTCGACCCTTGGAGCGCACATTTAATTACACCGCACGCCGAGTGATTGCTGATTCAGCCGACACTAATTAA